TGGGTGGTAAGTGAACTGACACTGTCACCACAGAAGCTGAGGATAGATTTTGAGAAATAGGTTTGAATGAGAAAACACTGCAGAAGGTTCAGGAAGCAAGGGGCTGTGCAGCTACGAAGTTCTGACCACACGAGATGGCTCACCTGGAGACAGCCCTGCATGAGGAAGAACGTGCCCACAGCTTAGGAAGGACAGGACTAGGAAAACACACCCAGAAGTCCTCATCATCTGTATCAGTGACGGCAAAACATTTAGAGGCCAAATGCCCAAGCTGTAACCCAAAACCCACTTATTTATCACCAAGTTCCAAGATTGCAAATTAAACCTGAGTGACCAAGTTTTTAGTTCAGAAAAAAACAACTCTACATTAACACTTTTTGTCTTCAAAGAAAAATATACTAACACACATGCCATAGGTTCACTACCACTGATCCACATGATAAGAGAGTGAAGCCATGGTATAGAGAATGGGTGAGGAAACAGCAGATTGCAACAGCATTTGAAAGGTAAGTGAATCTGTGGTACCTGTGCTACACGGACTTGGCCACAGTCATTACACATGACCAAAATGCAGGCTACAAGGTAATACAGTCGGGGATCTCTGCAAGTTCCAGATCAGCGTAGGCTACAGAGCGAGACCCTGTCTCACAAAGCCAAACACACACACACACCACTGGGTGAAAGAAGTCAAACACAAAAACAAACATAATGTATATTTCCATTTATATGAAATTCTGGAATAGACAAAACTAACCAATGGCAGTAAAAATCAGGTCAGCATTTGCTTCTGAGGGGATAAAGAAGAACCAACAGAAAGGATAGAAAGGGGCATAAGGGAGTTTTCTGGGGGTCACAGAAATGTTCTATTCCTTGCTAAAGGTGTAGGTTATATGAGTATATACATTTGTCACACCTGATGGACTAATAATCCCACTGTGCATAATTTATACCTTAATTCAAAACAACAGAGTATAAAGTTGTATACATTCATTTAAACAAAAACAAGAGGCTATGTAAATAAAAGTTATGTCAGGGAAGCAGAGCTATGGGCTAACCTTGCTTAAAATTTTTCTTTTAATACATTGTTATTAAATAAAAAGGAACTTTAAAACCACAGATGCCAATAAATGTTTATCAATTACCCATGAGAATGGACGGCATATTACAATTTTTTTCCAGTAGCAAGCAGGAAAGGATTTCTGCATTAAGGTATTTACTGTCTGAAGACAAGGGAGACACAAGATAAGTACATATACACCAGTTTAAAATATCAAGGGATAACTGCAGAAAGGGGAGTGTCCTGGTTTTGTTGTGAGGACACTGACAGGTTTCCAGAAGAGTTTTTGCAGAAGCAAGTAGCGAATCGTGTGGTGAGGATGTGGCTCAGATGGCAGAAGCAGGCAGGGTGGACTGCAGTGAACTGGCTTAATTTGGTCGGAGGCACACGCATCGGGGAAATGAGAAGGTCGATGGTGGGGATGGACAGACGGCCTGTGTTACAGTTTGTGTCCAGATGTCCCCCAAAGCCTCCTGAAGCCTTAGATGGGGCTTGTGTAGAGGCGACTGAAAGTAGAGTGTGTGACTGGTTCATGGTGCAGTCCTAGGTTCAAGAGCACCAGGATTAAGGAAGGGCATGAGTGCTACCTGCCCTCAATAGTCTGGATAAGATAAAAGGGGCAGAAAGGTTGTTAAATTCCCTTGTTGCTTGGCTACCTTCAGTCCACCGTGAACTCCTGCCCCTCTGCCACGTGCCACCCTGCCTTGGAGCCGGCCGATGACAGACTGAAACCTCAACAGACTGTGAGCTCCATCAATCTTTCCCCCTTTAACTTTGGGCGTCAGATATTTTGTCTCAGCGATGAGAGAAAAGTACCTAAGACAGCCTGAAAGTTTGAAGGTGAAAAGTAGACTTTACTAGGATTTTAGCATGCCTGGGTGTATGAGCTGTGGTGGTGCTGTTGGTGTTGTTGTTGTTTGTTTTTCCTTCCTTCCTTCCTTCCTCTTTCTCTCTTTCTCTCTTTCTTTTGGTATGGAGGATCAACTCAGGACCTTGCACTTGCAAGGCAGGCGTGGTGCCCCTGAGCTAAATCACCAGCCCTGAGCTTTTATTCTTTGCAATTTTTTATAGTTTGGGAACCTTGTCCCAGCAGTCACAGCGAAGGTAAAGAAAAATTATCCAATGGGCAAGTGACATCAGTGACTCCTGCACTATTCATTTTGGGGAAAGGCGGATACCTTGGTGATGGATGGTGATGATAATGCTAATAGCTTTGGGTGCCCTGGCCTTGCCAGTGACGTACCAGGTCCTGTGCCATTGCTTCATAAACATTATCATTCTACTCTGGCTCTGCAGCAACCCAGCAAAACACATACAGGCTTCGTATCACTAATCAATAGACTCTACTCAAAGAATTTAGGTAGCTTTTAACCCAGAACAGATGGACAAAAACTTAGACTATCAGCTCTACACATTGAACTCCCTATATCATGAAAGGAGTGATCAGGTCTCACTTGCATTTATGTCTGAGGAGCCTGTCCTGAGGGATTTCTAATATTTCACTTAATTATCATCCCTACTTGGAATATAGTTTATGCTCTCACAAAACAGCAAACGTGGTTAATTACTACGCTATAAAACTGCATACAACTTAATACCCATTACTGAGTAGCAGTTAATACTTGGTGTTAGATGCTTTACAATTACTTCATGTGATTCTTACAACTACCCTGGGGCAGAACATATTAGAGAGAATAAAATCAGGACAAAGACATGTAGCTTGACTTGCTGTAGGTCACCAAGCTATTATTTGAACATGGATGCTGTGATAACATAATCCTGAGCACTTACTGTTTCAGATTTTCAGATAGTTTTGAATTATGCTATGAAAACCTCTTTCCATCTCAGCTCCTGTTAAAAATTAGAATCCAACTGGAAGCCTTGACACAATTCCTCCTGGCCAATATCATCATAAGCACTTAAAGGATTCTCTTCTCTACTCACATAAACCAAACTTTTTCTAAAATGCTTTATGCTATTACTCGGGCAATGCTTTCTTATTCAACAGCAGCATATTGCTGCTCTGTACATTCCCTCTGTATAGGCTCAGGTGACGGAACGGTATGGACCAGCCAACCGCTGTATCCTGACATTCTGACAGCAGCAGGAAAAGCACGCCAGGACACCCTCCACTTGTCCCACAGGGAAGGTGAGAGTGAGGAGACAGAAGGCTATTTCCTGACAGGCTGTGCGACTAACTGGAGGGCCCCAATTTAAACTGCTTAACTGTGCCACCCACTGAAAGGTAAAAGAGGATCCCGCATTCAAGCAGTGAATGAGCACAGTGTTCCATTTGGTTCTGGCTCTGCCTTGGAGAGAGAATGAAACGTGAAACACAAGGTAGGCTCATCTCTACCTCTACTGGGGGGTGATGACTCCAAAACACACAAAAGGCCTCCTTCCCGATCTTCTACCTGAGGCACAGACAAAAGCAAATTAAGCTGGTCATTTGGACAATGGAAGAGGCAGCAGCTAAGCCAAGTCACACAGCAGGAAGCCTTCAGTCTCTGAGGACTGCACTGCTTGCTTCTCAGCTGTGGTTTCCTTAAACTGTTTCACTAGAAGTCTATAAAGTTTTGTTTGTCTTAAGATTCCTTTTTCATAAAGTAGCCTTCATTTCCACAGCCTAAAATAAGGTCAAGAGTGATGTGTTGGCTAAGTGTCAGTAGGAATCCGAGAGTGAACCAAGAGTCTGGCCTTGCCTCCCAGTGGGAGGTGAAAGACATGAGGAACAGCAGAAAGTTCTGACACCACGTGCAGTGCCCTCTCATCTCTGCCCTGGTTGGGCTGGGGTTAGTGGTGGAGTACGAGTGCTCCAGTCTAGCAAGTCGGATTGGTGGTGCTTAACATGATCACACTGGCTTGAATCACCAGTGTGGAACACAAGTGACTGTCCCATGGGGCAGCTTGTACCACTGATGGTGGAAGCGGTACAGTCATGCTCAGGATGGTCATGCATGTACCCCCAGTGGTGAAAGCCACCCAGCAGCGAGACACGTGTGTTAAGCTCTGGTGCTGTCCATAGAAAAATAGGCAGATTATTTTCTAACTGGATGAACACAATTTGCTTCTCTAGCTATTACCTTTGCATGCCTTACTTATACTTATTCCTATGCATTCTCGGGGTGGAGTTGGCTGGTAGGCACAGAAAGCTGCAAAGGGCAAGGAAAACAGCCTTTTGGTAAACAGCTCCAGGTCTGGCTGAGGCTAGTGCAGGAAACTGGGTTTCTAGACTGGGGAGCCACTGTAGACTGGGGGAGCCCAGCACAGTTAGCTCACTCCAACACAGGAAGCGGGGAGGGTAACCTTCTCTGTCTTGTAACAGGGTCTCCAGGGCAGACAAGAGCAGTCTGGCCCCTGGAGAGGAACACTGGGTGTGTAGTGCCACAGACAAATGGTGCCCTGTGCACTGGGTGGTCATTCACCTTCAGCCTCATCCAAGTTGTTAGATTAGAACAGGATATGCTTTTTTTTTTCTCCCCAGATGGACTGTTGCAATAGGCAGTGCCCTTTAAACTTTACACTCAGTACTCACAAACCACCCCCAGGAAGGGTTATGTTGTCAGAGAGGGAATTTCGTCAACACTCTTTAAGGTGAAAAGTGGTTCAGAAAAAAAAAATGATGGAATTATTTAGCAGGAATACACATTGACAAAAAACCATTCTGTCCCTCTCTCTTCAGCAAGAGACATGTTTTGGTCAACAGAGGCTCTGCTAGTGAGATCAGTGCCAGGAATTCTGTGAACTCAAAGTCAAGCTGCCAAGATTCAAGAGAAATGTCGATAGTTAAGTGTTTGCACAGATACCAGAGTGCAAGCACCAGCAACTGCCATCTGTGACTCCAGCCTCAATGCAGACCAGAAAACTGAATGTTCCAGCCCTACCCCCGACCATCCCATAAAATTTACCACCACTACCAGCCCAAAAAAGTGAAAGCTCTTACCTAGCTCTCCCCGGAGGTTAACAAGTTCTTGAGATAGGGTTTTGTGTTGTTTCAGGGCTTCCTCCCGCTGCGGAAAACACACATCAAGTTACTAATGTTTCAAGAGCATCTCTTTTCAGTCAGCACGCATTTGTTATCAGCAGGAAAATGAGACCCAGAAACGAGAAGCCAAGATATGAATCATTTAGGCCAACACAGTTTGTGTTGTTGAAAAACACAGATGTCCCTTAGTTGTGAAGGAAATCTGCATTTTGAAAATCTGTATTTTTTCAGGTCCCAGTGAAACTTTCCTTAGAGAAACTGAATAGCTCATTTAAAAATGTTTGCTTTGAGCTACAGCTTCGCTGCTGATCCATAACACCTTTCAGCTAATGCATACTGTACTTAAAACACAATGCCTTTTCTTTCTTCAAGGGTAATAGAGGCCTAATCAGTCTAAGATAAACACAGGCACTTACATATACTTTGTCCTATAGTCACAGATAATAAAGTTTTGCTACAAGACCAATCCTTAACTTCTAAGAGAAAGATAAAAAAGTGTGTTGCAAAGCTATGGCAAAAAATATTCCTTTAGAGAAAAAAATTAATTTGATTCATTCAGCTACTCACCAGTTTTCAAGGATTATTAAACCTTGGAGCATTCTATGTAGCTGTTAGCCAAATGAACCAAAAGAATCCAGGAAGCTGTTTGTTTCAGTATTTAAAAAGCAACCATCAACCTTGCCATAAAGAATAATTTTCAAGTTACCGTAAGCAAGCACACATTCACACACACACACACACACACACACACACTCACACAAACACAGTAGTTAGACAGTTCCTAACAAGGGAGATTCCCTAGTTCTAGGGCATAACTAACGCAGACATATAATTTCAAAGCTCTGAAAAATGCCCTCGCTGGGATAGCCCCAGATGTACCTCCCACCGCATCCTGATCTTGTATTGCAGAGATCATGAGATCCATCCAGCCTTTGCAGCAAGAGTTGCTTGTCATTCAAAGCATTTCCCAGATTCCAGACACTCTCTGCCGTAGTCCCTGATATTCGTCCAGAAAAGCACTATAACAAATACTAATTACCCTTGTTGCTGCACAGGGAGGAGAGAGGCACATTTTGCTGCTGGAGCAGCCCATTTTCCAGCTTCTCTCTCCAACTCCCCCACCCCTGTCCTGTCCAAGCAAGGCACAGGTGGCTGTGCCACCCACCAGTCAGGTCCGTCTACATTCAAAGCTCTACCGGGAGGAGCGCCATTGGCCCTCGGTGGCCTTCCTGCACGTCCTGCAGGTTACCGTAAGCCTCAGACTCCTCTCTCCCCACAGAAGCTGATACTGCAGCTTCTGCCTTTGGCACAGGCAGCCTGCGATTACTTAAAGCCATAGCCCTTCATTTATGAAAAACGAGAGCCAGACATTAAGACTGATCGATTGCCACTTACTTAAATATCAGCTGGGACAGTGGAAACAAAAACTGACCCTCTCTGCATGGATAATGGAGTTATTTTTAGATTTGTGAGCCTTTTTACTCCCTTCTCTAATTGAGGTCATTAGATGATCACACTTACTAATAGAAAAGGGAAAGTTGCCTTTCCAAGTCCATACACTAAATGAGGTTATAAACTAGGTGGAGGGCACTGAAAGGGGGTGTGCTGTGACTTAAAATTTTAACTGATTTTATCAAATGAATCATGTTCCTCTCACTATTTCATCTGACTGCTTAGAATGTGGTCCACTGATTAAAAAAAACCCTTGAAATGCCGATATGAGTGTTAGAGGTTCCACATACCATCGCCTGTTTGGCACTACTCTCCCACTGGTAGCTAAAGCTGCAACCCAAGCACTATTGTGTAAACAGATGACAGTGACTGGAGTTCATTAAATCCTTTTACCATCAAGTACATTTTGGCCTTGAGGGTATTTTAAGTGTTTGATTTTTGTTTTCATTGAGTTTATTAGTACTTTTTAGGTATACAGTAAATGTACAGTTACATTCATCATTGGGATCTTGTACCTTTACATGACAGGTCTTGGTTCTCATTTTTTTCCTTATCTCTGTCCTCCCTTCACCCCCTCCACCTTTCCCTATTTACAAAGACTTTGCTTCCATTTTTTCCTTTTCTCTCCTTTTCTTTCCTTTCCCCTACCCCTCCCAATTCCCCTAACACCTTTAGACCTTTTCTTCCTATTTCACATTATCAATTATGCAATTTGAATCTTATTTACACTTCTAGTTTTTCACACCAGAGAAACTATTTGGTGTTTACACATGTGTGTCCTATTTATTTCACTTAAGAGTATGTCCTCAATGTGCATCCATTTTCCTATAAATGACTCTAGTTTCTCATTCTTTATGGCTGAGTAGTGCTCCATTTTATAGAAAAAACACATCTTCTTTATCCCAGTCTCCAACGGATGGGCAATTAGGCCGTTTCCAAGTTTTAGCTATTACAAACTGTGCCGCTATAAACATGGGAACACATATATCAATGCTTGATTTTTAAATACACTATATTAAGTTGTTCTGAAATCACAAATCTGTGAGCCCAACTTTTAAAAATAATAAGTAGGACTGGGAGTGTAGCTAGGATGGAACACTTCCTATCAGGCACAATGGACAATTTTGTAAAAACACTATTGTTTTATAACAAGTGTCACCAGGTAATATTTTTGCTTTTTAAAGGGGCTTAGGGGATGAGGCAATTCTCTCAACTCTACTGCATACAACCATTCTACCCTCATTATCTCAGAAGCTTTTCACATACTCTGGTCACTGCCATTTGCAGTCAAGAGAGAGAGAAGCCTGTGGTCACTTCTCACTCCTGTCTCCATGGAATGTGCAAAAATCAGTCAGTTCTCCCTTCATAATGCGTCTTGAATCTATCGTACTTTTTCTCTTAGCCTCCACTTTAGCCCTGATCCTCACCAACCCAGTCCTGGACAGTGAACAAGATCTCTCCACTTTTCAGAGGGCTCTCATGTTATTATTCCTTATTTTTTTATGCATATAAATTCCCTTACTCAAAAAGAACTCTCACTGAGTAGACAGAAAGCCAGAAAATACTGCTAGGGTGTAGCTCAGTGACAGAGTGCATGTTTAGCATACTCGAGGCCCTGGGTTCAACTCTCAGGAGCACACAAAGTCACCATGGACCTGAATCATCCAGCTCCTGTTCCGACTCCCAGCCTCTCTCTCCTGTGCAAGTCACAAGCATCATGTGTATCCCACTCCCCTGTCAATTCACAGTCCCTGGATGCCTCACCTTCTTTACCTGACCCATTATATAAACTTTCTAGGAATATTAAGTATCAGTCAAAGATACCATCCCCCTCCCCAAATGCCTAGAAAGGACATTTATCCTTCTGGACTGGTTGGCAACTTATTATTCTGTACCAACCAAGCCTTTTTCACAGTATACGCTATTTAAAAAATGTAAAATACTTAAGATGTGGTTGCTGCTTTTAAGAAGCCATGGTGGAACTGAAATGGCCAGACCAAATTCTTTGGTCATCAAACATAAAACCTCATTTGAGAAGCAGCAGTACAAGATAACAGAAAAATGAGGACTTTAAAAATGATCCTAATGGAAAATGTTGACCACCACGCCCACACCCTAATAGACATGGACTGAGTATTTCTGCTTGACTTTGCTGGTAGGTTGCCCTTTAAATGTACGCATCATTTACTCATAGATGATAAAAAATATTTTGTCAGTTAGATACTGATTCATTGTTTCTTCTAATTCACACACTCCCAGTTAGGGTTTCTGTCTTAGATGATAAATCCTTTATAGTCCAAACAACAAGTTTATTTGATTCTTTGTATTATAACATGCAGAATCCCACACAGTATGGTAAAATAGAAAGGTAGAAATCTAGAAAGCTGTTTCTTTACTCATGCATCAAAAATATGAAGTGCTCCATGAAAAGAATGGATTCACCATAATTCAATTAAGCGTCTCTGGTCACAGCACTTAGCCTCTGGCTGCCATCCCATCGCATGCCTGGATTTTGCCGGCTACTGAATATCAGCAGCGGCACAAGAGCCACACGAGATAGCTCAGAGTGGCTATGCCTGACCTCCTCCCCACATGGTGAATCCGTCAGTACGGCCACTATTTTTGGTCCAAGACAGTTTTAAAATAGACGGTTAGTGTCATTCAAAATTCTCCTTGGATTAGATGCTACTCTAGTTTAGACTCCATTTACCAAACAAAAATTTTGAGGCCCTTTGAAGAATTAAGTTAGAGGTATGCGGAAGACCTCGGTCCCATTTAATACCTAGAAACCCACACAGAGCCTGTAGGAAGACTCTGGCCTCACCACCACCACACGCTGTCCTCCTTGGCTGTCTGTGTAGAATATCATTCAACTGTGTTAGGATGAACCAAGAATTAGAAACGAAACTAACATTAGTGTGTCCTCTGAGAAACAGAGAGAGACAGAAGCTTCCCACACTGATATGATTATCAGCACCTGTACATAGTAACATGTGCTTGTGTCACAGTTATTAAACAGACTTGCAACAGAAGGAGCAAGGATCGTTCTCAGATTCCCTATAATCAAACATTTTTGCTCATAATCTAATGACTCAACATCATTTAGAAAAGGTTTGCAATCAGAGGATCACACAATAGTTACACTTTTATATTTTATACACATAAAATACATGCACAAGTGATAATAAAGATCAGTATGTTCAATTTTTTAAAATTATCACAGTAAAAGACACATTGCCACTAATCTCCCTCGAGACCCACCCCTCTCTTCCAACCATCCCATCATTCTTGCCCCTTTTTTAAGTCGTTCTGAAAGTGCTTTTCTTCGAGTGCCTTTAGTCGCACTGTCATGGCTGCTTTGATGCACTGAACTGGTTCAAAACATTTATCTTTCATGGTCCTTTTGACTCGGGAAGAGCCAGAAGTCACACCAGATCTGGTGAGTAAGGTGGATAGGACACAGTGCGATGTTTTCACGAGCCTGCCTTTCCACTTTTCCACTCCAGGAGCAGAATTCAATAATTTTTTTAAATCACACCGTGCAAAGACACTCACAAAAGAGCATTTCCAGAGCTGTTTCCAGACAGTAGCAAGAATGTGATAAATGTGACTAAAGTGAGGAAGAGTATTTCAAGTGGGATTAATGACTGTGTCTAAATTTTTTTTTAAATTAAACACTGTTTTTTACCATACCACGTAGACACATACAATGTGTGTGTATATCTTCACACATTCCAAAGTAATGATTTTGAAAGAAGTAAAGGATTCAAGGAACTTTTTAATTGTTTAACTTTACTTCAGTCATGTCATTCCCTTCAAACCATTGTATAACAGTACCCTGTACACATCCCTCTCAGGATAGCCAACCCAGTGAATTTTTAACCCACTGTTGGATCAATTTAAAACAGTAAGACTGCATATAGTGTGGAATGTTGATGCCACACAAGGTACTTGGAGACTGGAAGATGCCCGAGGAGTAGACGACTGTCTTTCATCTCAAATCTGTCCCTGGGTCTTTGGCCACGAAAGGGCAACAGAAGGCAGGACCCATTCCTTTACTTACTTTGCATATTTACTTCGGTTATATAATGAATGAATCTGTGTAAATTAAATGCAGGTACTGATGTGATAATGCTGAAGAAAGATCTATATATGTAAGCATGAGGCCACAGCAGTAGCCCAGTAACAGTGTTTAAACAAGGCAAAAACATGCAGGAAATTTTGAGTTCATGAAGTCCTACCCTGGAGCTTAAGTCCTAGTCTTCCTCTTGCCTGCTGTTTGATGTTTCTTGATAATTCTATGCTTCAGATTTTCTTATTGACAAATTCTAATTCATTGTGATTTTGTTGTGGAACAAAGTAAGAATATCTGATACTTAGAAAATAGTCAGAAAATGTTAAATTCCTCTATGTCTCCTCAATCTCCCAAATCCAAAGTCCAACAGTTGGATAGTGAACGTGACAATAAAAAGGGTACTTGGTGTCAGATTACAGAGCTTTCCATTCCACGCCATAATCCAGTGTATTCAAAACAAATATGTGACTTCCATATATAATTTAAATCTTCCCAGTAGCCACAATTTTAAAGTTAAAAAAGAGGAAGCAAACTTTAATATTTTACTAAACCCCAAATATATACAAAATATTTTCATAGTCAACACAAAAATTATCAAATACATTTTATATCTTTAAAGAATTCTCTTTGAAATCCATGTATATTTTATACTTACCACACATCTCAGTTTAGACTGATTACATTTCACATGCCCAATAGCCTCCCTAAGACTAGTGGCTATGATAGACAGATCGGCTGCAGACAATGGAGTGTTTAATCAGAAGAATAGAATGCTTTGGAAAGATAAAATTGTCAGCAGTAGTCAGGTATGGTGGTGCATGCTTATAATACCAGCACTCAGGAGGCTGAGGCAGGAGGAGTTCAAAACTAGCCTAAACTACATTGTGAGACCCTTCTCAAACAAACAAACAAAACTTGTTAGCAGTGCATGGGACAGATTATAGGAGAGAAATGGTACAGCATAAAGAGTAGTTTAGCTAGGTGTGGTGGCAAACACCTGTCATAGGCTGAGGCAGGACTGCTGTAAGTTTGAGGTCAGCCTAAGACTGGTCTGAAGAAGACAGACATCTGTAGGAATGACCAAAATCAGATGAAAAGAGGAAATGCTATGGGTCAAGAATTTAGAGGATCCAATGATTGATTTCATGTGGGAATCAAAGGACAGGAAAGGGGTCGTTTTTGTTTTCCAAAAATATGGGGCTTTCAGACTGTACCATATAACAAAACAATTGGCTTATCTCAACATGCACAAGGCACTGGGTTGGATCTCCAGCATCACACATGTGCGCACACACTGACAAAACCACAAAATATTCATCAAATATTAATCTAACATGATTATTGGCCTGGTATCTCCCCAAAGGCACAGAGCAAACCTCACTGACTTCTGTTTCCCCTCCCTAAACAGCCCCATCACAGGAGTCTCTGCCTGAAATCAGTATATGTTTATTGTACTGAACTATAGAACAATTGGAACCATTTCCTTCTACCAAGATGCCATACATATCCAGCTCTAAAACTATGATTAAAATATATCTGAAGAGCTCAAGTTATACTCCTATCTCAATTTCCCTATTAGAAAATTATAGTTTTTGTTGCTATGTCTTTTCTCAATGAAATTTAATCAGTTTCCTGAAATAACATTCCTGTAGAATATCAGAGAAGAGTAAGTAAGCAAAGAAAATCTGCTTTGCTTTTGTTGTACCACAGTTTATTTTAGGAATGGATTGAAAGTGAAGAGTCCCAGATCTGATTCTGGGAGTAAGCTCAAAAAGAGTTCTTTGATCTATAATCAACTTCATTTTTCAAAGCATTAAATTAAGTGTGATATGGAAAGCTACATATAGTTAGACCAAAAAAGTAATAGTATTGCAAGGTTTAGAGGCATATAAAAGTACCATAGGAAAAAAATAGAGAAAAAAAAAAGTACCATAGATAGTCATATCTTCCCTGTTAAACTTTTAACTGAGAGACCCTAGGGGAGAAAAAGGGGTACTAAGAAAATGTTCCCATCACAAATTTCTGGAGACTGACTGGGGTATGAAGTGAGCAGAAAAAAGTAGAGTTGGATAAACCATACCTGATCTTTCAATCATTAATTTACACATATTCATGAGACAGGGGTGTGACCGCTGTGCCCCCTTCAGCTATCCCGTGGTGCCCCAGCTGCCACCCCAGAGCGAGCCTCCCCACAGGGTTCAACCCTCACCTCTGACAGCAGGTGTTGGATCACAACTGTTAATGCTTCCAGCTTGATGTTGCCGCGGGAAAGAAGCTGCTTGAGCTGCAGGATAAATCCACTTTGGCTTTCACATTTCGTTTTATACTGAGCCAGTTCAAGTGCTTTTTCAGAGGACAGCACATCTGGAGACGTCTGTGTCTGGATGCATAGACTCCTGGGATTCTTTTGCCTGCCCTTTTCAACTGCAAGAGGAATGAATGCAGCACAAAGATATGTGAGGTTAATTCTTATAATCACCACCACATGGGTTTAAAACCAACTGGATAAGCCACAGAAATGCATTTAAGTTATGTTTATGTAAGGAACTCATATGGACAAAGACCAGAGTGGATCAAAGACCTAGATGTTGGAATTCATAAACATTATAGCCTTAGTTCTAACTTTCAAAGATTTATGTGAGGAAAGAGAATTTTGCACATGAAACAAATACACTTAGCAGCCCAGAAACATGAAAAGGGTATGGAAAATGTTGATTTCATCATTTTTAAGGTTTCCAGTTAAATTGGCAGAGACATCTAATTGTGACTACTATTTTGACCGTCTGATCACATATGCAGAAAAGAATACTTCTCACTCAACGTTTTCTAAAAACATCTCATCCTTTGATTGCTGATGGCCTGGTCATTACAAAGTTTAGTAGTGCAGATGTGTCATTATCTTATCTTTCATAAATCAACACATACATTGAGAATTCACTCACATCATTTTGCTCTTAACTTTAAATTCATGGTCAAGAGTGCAATGGTGTGAGACCCTGTCTCAAAAAACCAAAATATTATCATTAAAAGATGGAAATAAAGTGGTTGCAGATGGGGAGGGGAGGAGGGGGTGAAGGGAGGGCAGGGACAAGGGAAAAAAATGAGAACCAAGACTTGTCATGTAGAGGTACAAGATCCCAACAATGAATGTAACTGTACTGTATCCCTAAAATGTACCAATAAACTCAATTAAAGCTGAAAAAAATAAATAACAGAGCCAGGTGTGGTGCACACCTGTAATCCCAGCACTTGGGAAGCTGAGGCAGAAGGATCGCTGTGAGTTCGAGACCCACCTGGGCTACATAGTGAGTTCCAGGTCGGTCTCAACTACATAGTGAGACCCCATCTCAAAAAACCAAAAATAAATAAATAAAGAGCGCAATAGTGTGACTATATATATTATCCCACTTTCTATCAAATACAAGCTTTATTCATTTTTCCCCACAAGTAGTAATAATGGGTGAAATATTTTTAACAGCACATGCTAATGCTCCAAACCCATCTAAGGTGTCACTCAATGAGGACTATTCACTTCTCATGCTGTCATACCCGAAGAAGAATGCTGCCTTGAAAAACTGTTCTGTGTTGGAACCGTTCTAAGTGTCTCAGTTGCTTTAAATATCAAACAGAATTGGAAACAGGAAACAAACAGCTTCACTTCTTATAATAAATAGGCCAAACACAAGAAACTAAAATTTTAAACTATTTCCATATTCTGACGTGCATTTTCTGTGGCATCCACACTCTGTGGTGACAGAGATCTAAGAAAGACCTTGTGAGCAGTCAGGGAAAGTCTTCTGTAGTTTTTCAGGGAGACATAACTCATGGTCATGATTACTTGAAAGAAAATAAACAAAGAAACTTTAGTATTCATGTCCGAGAAACAATGGCAAAACATAGTCAATATTCTAATTATAAGAAAAAGGGCTGAATGAGAAAATAGATTCATTCATAGGAAAATGGATACATATTGAAGATATACTCCTAAGTGAAATAAATAAGTCACACATGTGTAAATACCGAATAGTTTCCCTGGTGTGAATAATGTGCAATAATACATAAGATCCTAATATGATTACTGACATTTTGAAATGGGAAGAAAGGAGCTAAAGGTGTAGGGAAGGTGGGATGGGTAGGGGAAGGATAATAAGGGAAAAGAAAAAAATGTGAGAGAATGAAAAGGTGGAAATAAAGTGTTTGTAGATGGGGAGGGGAGGAGGGGGTGAAGGGAGGGCAGAGGTAAGGGGAAAAAATGAGAATCAAGACTTGTCATGTAGAGGTACATGATCCCAACAATGAGTGTAACTGTACTGTATCCCTAAAATGTACCAATAAACTCAATTAAAGCTGAAAAAAAGAAAAAGAAAAAGGGCTTTTGTTTCGTATGGCTGCTTTATATGGTTAGACAACTTATATTTGTACCACTATTTGATAATCCTCAGTTCTAAAATGGCTAAAATATCCTTTGTGTTTATTAATTCTTAAAGACATAATTTATCCATTATTTACTAGTAGTTTTCAAGTTGTTCACTAATACTTGCAACTTCCTTAGTAGATGGAGGAAATTTTCAACTTAATATCGTCATAATATTACAATCCAGAAGAACCAGTTATTACAGATTCACTATATTAATGAAAAAATCTACATCCTTGACAACTTTTCAAGATATCTGTGGTTGGTATTTTTTAATGTCATTTCCTAAATACTCTAAGAAACTGTATTTGTGACATAATACATAATAATAATTACACAGTTTTCTCAAGTGCCACCTCCACCCTGTTTATCCTTTGAGACTGTCTGGTTCTGTTGTGAGGCAAGATTTGAACTCAAAATCCTCCTGCCTAAGCCTCTATAAAGGTGCTGGGGCCACAAATGTGTACAATCATACCTAGCTTCCCCCTCTTTTGACCTCACAGGACCCTAGGTAAGGAAGGCCCAAGGAGTAAAAGAACAACCCAAGGCCTCTGACAGTTTCTAGTGCTCACACCCTTGGGGAACCGGATTAGAAAGATAATGTATCTCTAGATTTTAAAAATATGGTATAAACATAACAAATATTATTTTGAAATATTCAGGTTATATATGCCCATCAATAGACGAATGGATAAAGAAAATATGGTTTATATACACAATGGAGTACTACTCAGCCACAAGAAGGACGACCTTAGTCATTTGTAGGAAAATGGATGGATCTTAAGATCGTAATGCAACATGAAATAAATTAGTTACAAAAGGTAAATCTCTCATGATACTGCTAACATGAGAGACTCTACATATAAATAATTTAAAGACCAAAATAAAGAAACAGCCATGTTGAGAACCAAGGAAGTAGACTCTGCAGAGATAGGGAGAGTGGGGTTGTGAGGGGAGTAAACATCATCAAAATGCACACTCTCCATGCTGAATGTAATCACTATGTATCGCAAACATGTACGGATGAAAATATTCAGGCTAGATGTAAGTTCCTTGTCTTTACTGATGTCACTGTACAATATCCTTTCAAAACTTAATTTATGTATTTACACATTGCTGTATACTTTCTTGAATCTATATTAATGTTTGATTCCAGAATTTTTATGCCTATTGATGTTATTTAACACAATACAAGAGTTTTTAAATTGTCCGGGTATAATTATTTGCAAAATCTGAGGCTGAATATTTTACATTGATATTTTCAAAGAAAATATTCTTTAAGACTCTTGCTTTTTTGCTTACAAATGTATGACAAAAATATTGCAGAATGCATATAAAAGTATTAACAGTGTTTACCTTTTCAGGTTAAGGAACAGAAATCAGATGGATAAACTGCCCTCAGAAATTTTTTTCAACTTTTGTATCAAATTTTGTATTAAAATTTGAATAAATATGTTCACCCATTGGTTAAAAATTATAGAGATGACTTGAATTAAAAATGTAAATAAAAATTTTAAAAGATGGCTCAAACTGATTCTGAACGATTAAATCCTTATACAATGTTTAACCATCAAGAAAATACAATCTATTTAGAATTCTTTGGGTAATCTGTACAGGAACCTAAACACCACCATCTTGTTAGCAGCTCAAAATAGATTTACAGTTAAGGAGAAAGGAATACGCTGGCTTATTCTTCTTCTAGGGATGTATGTCTCCAACTGTACAAAGTGCCCTCTACCTGGAGCTGGAAAAGTATGCTGTGACCTCCATCTTCCCGGCCCAGATGCTGTGCTCCCCCGGGACAAAACTGCAGTCCATGGTAGCTGATGACCCAGTTTGTGCATTCTGCCCTCTCCTCACTCCTCGTTCAACCAAAAAGCAGAAACGTTGCAAAAATCTCCAGCAGTGTGCAATCCCCTAAGGCTCATATAAGTAGCCTACTTCATAATACAGAAGACCCATGGGTTTCCCTTAAAGCCCTTGGGATTTATTATTTACATGAATTTAGCATAATAGAAACCACACTTTACTCTTCTATCCTTACACGTCCTTACATACTAGGATATTACTGTTTTGATAATGCAGCTGTATTTAAAAGTCTAAACTCTTTTATTATATCTACTAAAAGAACATTGCTAATTTCAAAGAATCAATTTAATCAGAAAACTTAAAATGCCATGTTAACTTCTATGCCCATTCAGATTTCTCTCAACATGATACAGTAATTACCATTATCACTTCTGATCCAACCTCACTGGGATTCATTCTAATGAAACTGAAACATCCATCAATAAAACAAGTACTGAATCAAAGATAATTGCCCACTTAAAAAACAGCTAAATAACTCTTCGCTCTCTTTGTTCTTTCCACTCAGAAATCTCAGTAAGTTTAAAACTAGCCCACAGAACTGATTTATCATCTACTTACAGAAACTGGGTAAAGAGAAATAGGTGCATTTTTCAGGCTCAAGGCACTCAGACAGATGAATCTCCATCTTATTATCAAAAACCATTTTTAAGAGAGATTTAACCACGAAGCCATAGACGAACCATGATCACAAAGACAGTCGGCATTCTAAGGCCAAATAGCTGTACATTTATTGAATCTGGCTTTCCAAAATATGAAGATCAATTTAGACACATGATTATTGAGAGTTTGCCTTGGGTTCCATGAAGTACAGAACAAAACTCCGAATTCAGTAATCAGTGTTGTAGTCTTATCGGCCCATGCTCACTGACCTGTTTATTCATCAAATATTTATCAACATGGAACACAACAGCATTACTGAGGGTGACAGACCTGCCCCGGGGCCTTGAAAGTGAGGGAGGCATCACACAGGAGGGTGGGATTGCATAGGGAAGCAAGGATTTCCCTGTGTTAATTTCTTCCTGATCCTCCCCGGTATCAAAGGTGCTGGCACTGAGTGCTATGTGCTTTCACTACGTGCTGCATTGAAAGCTAACATTTGTCATCTAATATAAAACACACATAATGAATTCAGAGGCTGACC